AGAATGTAATGTTGACGGGAAGAGTCCACTGCTAATAGTGCTTGGTAAGAGAAAGGGAAGAGGATACAAGTATATGCCATAGTACTTTTTAGCATTTGGGTTAAAAAAAAAAACAACTGAAGAATTCCCAAGAAATTAGTAAAAAAGAATTGGAGATGGGGTCGGAAATATGACGTATGGTGACAAAAGTGAAAGCAAGGATTTTCAACACGTGTTCTATTTCTTTGCACGGTCAGTGCTCTCCGGCCAACGCCCAGTGACACACCTGCAGTCCAGCGAGCTGCAAGGAGAGAGCCGCCCACCAGGAACCCTGCAGGGGTCCCAGCAACGGTGTCCGAGAGGATCTATTATAGGACTTGTGCTTGTGTCAGGTAAGGCTGGGAGGGTTCATGGGAGTGAGGCTTGGTTCTGCACTGGGCACTGTCAGGAAACAGGATACTTTGTTCGGATATTTTAGGGAATCTTACCTAAGTGGTAGAGGGAATAAATTGAGGTCAGATCTCTGATGGGTCAAGACCAGCAGGCCCTCATGTTAACCAGGACAGGAGGATATTTTTCCATTTTTGTGGTTTAAACAATGCTTTTTTTTTGTCTGGGTTCAGACCTAATTATGGAGTTGTCTTATTTCTGTCCTGATTCACTGTTGTTACAGAGTAGGTGGGTAGCCTTGTCTAAAGTTGGTGTTCTGAGAAACTATTTGTGTTCAACCAAGGTCTATCGGATTGTGCCAGGCTGAAAACTAAATGTCCATCAACTAATAAATGGGTAAATAAACTGTGGTTCATCCATACAACACTAGTCAGCACTAAAAAGAACAAACTGCTAATATATGCAAAACAAGTTTTAAAGTATTATGCAATAGCAACTTGACAGTGGAAAACCCTGGCAGACAGTACTTAGGTGATCAGTGTTAGTATCACCAGTAACAGGACATAAGACTTCATCTGCCTCTTGCTATGATGCAATGAGAAGGGCAAAGTGTTGTTTTCCCCAGATATATGTTACCTCAATTTAATTTTAAGAAAACACCAGACAAACCCCAATTGAGGGGGGCATTCTACAGCCAAATGGGCCAGTACTTTTCAAAAACATCATCAGGGTTATGAAAGATAAAGGCTGGGGGCTCGTCCCAGATCAGAGACTAAGGAGCCATGACAACTTACATGCAGGATGGCGTCCTGGATTGGATCAGAGATGTGAAAAGGGACGTTAGTGGGAGAACTGGCAAAGTCTGAAAGAAGTCTGCAAATTTTCTAACAGCACTGTATCAACGTAAATGTACTAGGAAAGCTAGGGTAAGATGTTGACCTTAGGGGAAAGTGGGTAAATAGTATATGTGTCCTATTTTTGTAACATCTCTGTAAACCAAATTATTAAAGTTGCTTTTTTTGAAAAAGAAAAGCAATATGCTAAGTGAAAGAAACCAGACACTTTAAAAAGGCTACATTGAGTTTGAGACCATTAGGATATTGCCATTTAGGAAGGGCACACTACAGGTACAGAAATCACTTCCATGGTTTCCAGGGGCATAGGGTGCGGTGAGGAGGGCCAGAAACTTTTTTAAGCAATGGAAATTCTGTCTTCATTTTGTGGTGGTTTTTCAAATCTTGTAAAACAGTGTAATTCAACCGGTAACTTTTACACTATATAAGTTGTATTTCAACAAACCACACTTAAAAAAGAATAAGTAGTGTGCATGTTGACAAATTTTCATTGTAACCTATCTCTGCTATAACCAGAAAGACTGGACAAGATGCTTGGAATACTGGAGGGGAAAAAAAAAGTTTAGAGAAAAATGACACAGTGTTGGTCTCCAGAATAACTTCAGGGGACAAGACCCTCTGGCTGCCTAGAGTCATTTCTGCAAAAGAAGAATGCAAAGTTAAGAGCCAAAGGGAACACCAAGAAAGGCCCCTGGCTGACCAGCTGCTGCAGGAAAAGGTGAGCAGACTCAGAAATGCCCACTGCAGCCCAGCAGGGCCGCTCAGGTGAGCATCTGCAACCTGTAACAATGGGGAAGCCTGACACCATGGAAACAGCTCCAGTGATCTATTTAAAGGAAGCATGGGGAAAATGACTTGTCATGATTTTCAGCCAGCATGGGCATGATTAGGTTTTGACGAACTTCAATTTATTTGGAAAAACTAATTATCAGGAACATCTCAGTAAGGGACAAGTGTTACTACAGTTTTTTTTTTATTATGGAAAAATTTAAACATATACAAAAATAGAATGATATAGTAATCCCTTATGTTTCTATCACCCAGCTTCAATAATCATCAAGAAAAGGAATTTTTCTCAAATCCATTTGAGGCTGTAAGTACTTTTATAGGTGATAATTGTTAACTTGCGTATCTGGATGAAAACTGCAATTCAAGTTCCCAATACTGCCTAACTTTACTAAAAATCTCCTTACATGTTGCATGAAGTTACTTATGCTATCATTTTGAGCTTAATATGTATCCTTCAGTTATTTCTCTCAAAGATGGAAATGTTTAAGTCCACTGTTGCTTTGTAATATTTAAATCTGGAGACATCAATTTGATCCCCAAAATTCATTTCTTCTTATATAGGTGTTTAAATGTAAGGGAACCTTTCTACTTAGTGTCAAAGAATCCTGAATAAACTGTCGTATTTCTTCTCACACAGGAAGAAATGGGATTTTAAGTCATTAAGAATTTGAGTTAGGGATTTAAAATCCAATAAACAGAGGCATTCCATGTAAAGCAGTTGACTACACTGCGGTTATAGTTCTTCTCAATAAAGGTCTAAATGATGGGTCTTCTGCTGGATAGCTATGAAAGGGAGGCAAATCCTCATTCTATTCTGAACATGAGTGTTGAAATTGTGAATTTTAAAGAGGTGCCCCAAATTTGAGAATATTAAGGAATTTTTAATTGTATGATTGACAAGATTAGGACTATATTATCTGGACTAATTTTTCATCTAAGCTTTTCTATTTGATGTTTTCATTATTGAGTAAGACTTTCAATATAACACTGAACTCAAAATAATAAAAGAAAAAAGTTGTATTTGCCCATGTTTCAACATTTCCAAAAATTGCTAGTTTCTAGAGTTTTTGCCTAGGAAATGCAGTCAGCAAGTACTTTTTGGGAAGATGGCTTTATTTCTCAGGTGAACTGCACTGTCTAATGACATATACATGTATTTATATGCATATATCCACATTCATGGATTATATACAATTAAAATACTTTCTAAACATGTATATCCTATTTCAAATCTTGCATCATACTAACTTTTTAATGTATTAGTGGGATCTAAGTTTTCTATCTGAAGAAATAAATTAGTGAGATAATTTTAGTCTCATGGGTTACAAGACCCACTCTATTGCCTGTTTTATTAGTCAACATTTTACATGATTTTTTTTTAATAAAATGAATGTTGGAATTGTTTTGCCAAGTTTTCCATCAATTTACAAGATATTCTCCAAGTCTCTCAGAAAATGTGAAAACAAAGTAAAGTAGAGATTAAAAACAAAATGTTTACATTTTTTAACAGCACCACCTGAAATTTATTTCCCAGATGGGGAACGCTCAGGGCATGAGACTATTTTCAAGCTGCTACAACAAAGTATTTATTGGATGCATCCTCTACACCAGCACTTATCTGCTTTCCTGATGGGTTGGGGTGGGCAGTGGCTCCACCTTGCACAAGCTTACAACCCTGTTCAAGTGGAAAAGCAAGTTCCCAGGGGGTTAGAATAAGGCCACCACAGTGCTGTCGGAGGACGCCAGAACTCGTTTATCCAGTCCAGAAGCCTTCAGGGGTGAAAACGCCTTTGGGTGAACGCACCAATTACTCTTCCTTGATTGTATCTCCAGGGTGGGAAGACAGGACTCAAGGAAAGAAACTCATTTATCAGACAGGCATTGTGAGCTACAGGTGCCAGAATGTCCCACGGGGTGACTTTACGCTGGAAGAACAGCAGTGTCTTTTAACCAGGCTTTCTTGTGAAACTTGTAACTCACCTACCAAATCAGAAAAAAATGAAAAAAATGTGTCTACGTTTCCTGTGAAAAAGGACCATCCTACCGATTCTGAAAAAGGCAATAAATGATAGGTTCCCTTAACAATTCCAGAGAAGAAAATTTACAAGTATTAACTTATAATAACATAAGCACATTGCAGAGGAACTACAGAAACTTAACACCAGTGAGCTAAGCAGATGCGGTGCCCCAGGCCCCAGCTATCAACATCAGCAGCCTCATTCCCTCCCCCTTCTACCACCTGCTCTTGTCAAGGTCACGAGTGACCTCCACCTTGCTAAACCCAACGTGATCGCAGTCCTCCTGCTTGATCACGTCCAGCCTCTGACTCATCTGTCACCTCTCCAGGAAAAAACACTTGGTTCTCCTGGCTGCCAGACACCACCCTCTGGTGGTTTTCCTCCGTCCTCTCAGATATCCCATCCTCCCAGGGTCTCCAGACCCCATCCCCCCTCCAATGACCAAGAGCCCCCTCCCCAAGCGCCGCACAGCCAAGCCTGAGCTGGGGAACTTCCCCAAACCTGCACCCCGCAAAGCCTCAGGCACCATCCTCGGGGCCCCACTGGTCCGGTTCCCACAGCTCATACCCTAGTGGAGCCAAGCTGTCCGCAAATTCTGACCGACGCCCCTTTCGGCTTCGTCCGAAGTTGACCCCTCCTCCCGTGCCCACAGCCAATACCCAAGCCTAGGCCACCATCGGCTGACCCGCCCCCCGCCCCCAGCTGCAGCAGGGGCCACAGGAACCCTCCCGAAAGGGGGAATCTGTGCTCCGAGACTCCACCTTCCCGGCGGCCTACCGGGCCGACGTGCTCCGGCCGCGTTATTTTCCAACCGCGTTTCCGGTCCCCTCCCCAGTCTCTGGGGCTGCTCCAGCCCCCGCGCTGTGCCCTGAAGACCGCGGACCTCGGGCCTCCGTCCGCGAAGCATCCCTGACCGGGAACTCCCCGCGGTCCTCCCGCGCGCCCCCCGTGGCCCCGCAATCACCGCCCACCCGGAACCCGGAAGCGGTTGCGCATGCGCATCGTGGGCGGGCCGGCCCCACCCCTGGGAGCCCAGGGCCGCTCTGGGCTGCGTGCTCAGTGGGGGCCCTTGGACCGGAGCCGGCGAGGCCGCGGACACCCCGGCCCGGCAGGAGACGCCCCTGCAGGCGGCGGGAACGGCAGCGGCGGCCCTGGCGCGGGGCGGGACGCGGAGGTCGGGGCTGCAGCGGCCCCTGCCGGACACCCGGGCGCGGCCGGGCTCCCGAGACCCGCCGGGCCAGGTCGTGTGTATCATTGGACGGGTGTTCCTTTGCTGCTCTTTCTTTGGGGTGCTGCGGGGCGGCGCAGGGGGCAGCGCCTTGCCCCCTCTGTGTGAGCTTCCGGGATACACCGTGAGTTATTACCCGCGTTCCTCACTGGGCCTCAAGTCGGGTCCCCCAGCGTCGGGACAGAGCATTTCAGACGCTGGGGCTGCTTTCCCGGAAACGGTATTTCCAGAGATGGTTCTTCGGGTTTCCAGGCTAGCCCAGGGAATTTGAAGGCTGGTACCAAGATTCTTACCTGGGTGTCCGAAGGAAACATTTTCAGGGCCTTTAGGACTCGGTGACCCCATAGCCCCATGTGTCTGATTTTCCTTAAGATCAGTCATCTTTTCTTTGACTCAGGCTTACCACCAGCACTGCTTTTCCTGGAAGGAATTTCATATGGCAGGCCAATGAATGGGAAAGGGAAGTGGTTTAAGAACTTGGGTGCAAAAAATGGTAGGTTAACATTGTTTTCCCAACTCAAGTGTCAAACACTTGCCACAGTTTAGCTGGAAATTCAGCCCACTTTGGAACCCTTTGCTCCTGTGAGCTGCACCAGCTCCTTGGCGGCTCACAGAGTCCAAGAACATTGAAGGAGGGCTGCATGTCCGGTTGCTGTTTTAACCCCAATATGTGTATGGCCCTTACTTCATGCCACACATTTCTAGGAACTTCACATATATTGACTTATTTATCTTCCCCACTACCTGATACAATAGATACTGTTATCCTCGCTTAACAGGTTGGGAAACTGAGGCCCAGGAAGGTCAAGTACCTGCCGAAAACAGAAAAAACTGTTAAATAGAACTGGGGTTTGAACTTGTACCTTGGCTGTAGATAACCCCCCCCCTCCGCATACTGCCTCTCATTAAAGTGTTGTTCCATTGCCTTTGTGCTAATGGTATTAATCATTACTTTTTTTTATTAAAGTATTGATACACAGTCTTATGATGGTTTCAAATACACAACACAGTGGTTCAACATTGACCCACGTTATCAAGTACTCACCCCTCCATTGGGGTCGCTGTCTATCAACATAGTAAGGTGTTACAGAGTCATTAATTGTATTATCCATGCTGTACTGCCATCTCCGTGATCCACCTATATTGTGATTGCAAATTATTGTGCCCCTTAATCCCCTTCTCCCTTCCCCTCATCCTCCCTAAACCCTCCCCTTGGGTAACCACTAGTTCCTTCTTGGTGTCTATGAGTCTGCTATTTTGTTCCTTCTGTTTTGCTTTGTTTTTATATTCCACAAATGAATGAAACCATTTGGTATTTGACTTTCTTCTCCTGGCTTATTTCACTGAACATAATACCATCTAGATCCATACATGTTGTTGCAAACGGCAGAATGATATTCCATTGTGTAAATAAATGTACCACATCTTCTTTGTCCATTCATCTATTGATGGACACTTAGGTTGCTTCCATATCTTGGCTATTGTAAATAGTGCAGTGATAAACATAGGGGTGCATATGTCTTTTTGAATCAAGAATCTGTTTTCTTCGGGTAAATTCCTAGGAGTGGAATTATTGGGTCAAATGTTATTTCTATTTTTAGTTTTTTGAGGAACCTCCAAATTGCTTTCCATAGTGGTTGCACCAGTTTGCAGTCCCACCAACAGTACAGGAGGGTTCCCTTTTCTCCGCATCCTCACCAGCGTTTGTTATTTCTTGTCTTTTGGATAGTGGCCATCCTAACTGATATGAGATAATATCTCATTGTGGTTTTAATTTACATTTCCCTGATGTTAATCGTTAAATGTTTATCCTTTCCTCCATTCAGGCACTGAGGCCAGGGAACGGGGAAGGCACAGTGGCCCTCACTGCAGCCTACCATGGTCCGAAGACCTCTGCCATCACCCACAGATTTGGCCACCTTGAAGGCAGGATACTCCATCCAGGTCCAGGAGCCCACCACCCACAGCTATCCAGCACACCACCACTCAACCCCGTCCTCTCTTCCACCCTTGGAAGAGCGACTTCCTCAGCAGTGTCAGGCTGCCGCTTAAAGCATCAGCCACCAGCTTTTCCATCCTTCCGGCAATTACAGCTTAATTTCTAGATGTCTTGTCCTGGAATGTTCTTTTTCCATCCCATCCGTAGTAATTCCTCTCTTACTTTCAGTCTCAGCTCATTTGTCACTTCTTCCAGGCAGCCTTCTCTCCCCCTGCTCTCCCTACCACCAGTCCTTGAGACTCCTTGTCCCTGATACAAGCACCGTAGCAATTACCCCAGGGATGATGTCAGATGTATTTCTGCTTACTTGGTTAAGTGTTCTCTTCCCCACCAGTCTGTGAACTTCCCTGAAGGTGACCTTTTGTCTCTATTTGCTCACTGTGATATTTCCAGTTCCTCACAGTGCCTGAGAGTGGACTTTCAATTGACCGATTCCTTTAATATATATAAAATGAATGAGTAAATAATTTTCCAGGAAAAGCAGCCCCAAACACATGGAATAATAGCTTGCCATCTACCAAAATGCAGAAGCGAATTGTTTTGTCTTTCATGTTTCTTATAAGTCCTTAGCAACATAAAACAAACAAACAAAAAATCTAGTGATAACTCACTCAATTTATGGAGGTTTTCCTGGGATGACTAGGTAGGTGATATAAGAGTTTAGGAGCAGATACACTAGAAAGTAATATTGTTTTCTCCCTTGAGTGAAATTCAGACATGCCAAGCTATACCTCTAGAAAGAGACTGTCCCCCAACCCTGACTTTTAAATCTTCTCCCATTACTCACTTAGCTGATAATCATGCTGTCCCTCAGGGGTGGACTGTTGTTCTTTAAGCCTCTTGTACAAATATAAACATGGACCTAAACATCTAGGCTTGGTGTCTTGTACTGATGGATTTTGACATAGTAGAAGACTGAATCTTTCTAAGGGTTTTTTAACTCAATACGAAGAGAGAAGAAAATAGACATCAAGATTACAAAAATAGAAGAGATATAAACACAATGCAGAAATTGGGCAAAATCCTGGCCTCACTAGATCCTGTATTTTCCAGCTCCAGCCTGTTTCCAGAACATGCCAGTGTAACGCTTATCACAACCCACTCTGCCCCCATGCATCTTGGGCCCCATGGAGAGAGGCAAAGAGAGCGAGGCACTCTCCTCCAGCCTCTTAGGTCCTGCAGGTTTTAGTGTGAGTGAGGCCTGAGGGCTGGTTAACACCAGGAATGGCTCTGCCCTCAAAGGGGTGCCCACACACAGCACCCGAGGGCTTCGGCTCTCACCTCAGACAGCGCATCTGCCTACCACATGCTGCATATGATACCGCAAAGGTGCACACAGCCCGCACTTAAGAGGAAAAATTGACATGAATAACTGAACCGTGAGATGGAGACAGGAAAGAGGGTGGGGGTGCAGGTGTGGGTGCGTGCTCTGTGGCAAGGAAACAAGGAAAGCAAGGTCATGAGGGAAAGGCTGCATCAGACAGCAGTCTGGAGTGCCGAAGACACTGTTCTTGTTCATTGGGTGGTGGGCTGTGGGGAAGCCAGTGCCTGTATTCTTAGCACCCAAAAGACCTATTCTTTCTTTTCATGTTTAAAACATCCAATTTGCTTTCTGGGTGTTTTGGTGGATGCAATACTTTCTATCTTTTTAAAGATACTGGAAGAATGACAGTGATTCCCCACTGGCCCACTTCAGATGGTCTCTCAACTGGGTCTTTCCATGTCCACCCAGATCTGCCAGTGTAGTTCCCCCTTCATGCCTCCTCCCTCTGTGATAGTGTCCAAGCTCTCCACATACACTTGTGGTCGCCGTTGAACAGCAGATCGGTCACACCTGCTGGGAAGGGGAGGCAAGGGTTGAGTTGGGGAAGGCCCATGCTTGAGGCCATCTCGCCCTGGAGAACCCTTCTCCCTGCTCCTTGGTCTCTATGGTCCTGCAGCAGTTAGATGGAAGCCCCAGCAGGGCCCAGGTGCTGATTCATCCGTCCTCTTGTGGGAGACCTGTGACTTTGGAGAGTTCTTTAACCTGGTTCCCTTGACGCAGTGGAAGCCTCCACTGCTACATCCCAGTATGTTCGAACTTTGCTCGCTGAGGCTACCTCATTCCTGGCAGAAAGCGCATGGGACAGGACCCTTTCCAAGAAAGCCACCAGCCAACTCCCCTCACGTCCAGCCCATGAAAAAGGTGCATGAACCCTTTCCCTGCCAAACTCCAGAAAGGAAGGCATTTCCAGCACAGCCCTAACTCTGTGCTCTGCCGCCTCAGGCCCCTCCAGCCACATCTCCTCACCTTCGGGCTTTGTCAGGCACATACTGGACATCAATTCCTGCTTCCTTCTCTAAGGGGACACGGGGCAAGCTCCCTGCGTGCTTATGGAAGCCATCCTCACTTGGCTTGAGGTGAGGGCAAAAGCTTCCCTCTGCCCCCCGACCCCGTGACAGTGCAGGAAAGACACCCGTGTTTTAACAACTTTACCCAGGGACTTATTCCTTTTAATATGCCTGACAGTGGGTGCTTTTATTTTATTTTTTGGTTGCAATAAACAGCTCTACTGGGTATCTGTTGTAAAGGTTAACTCTCCCTCTAGGAACACAAAGCATTTTCTAATAACCTTCCATCAGACTCTTTAACAAGTTTAATATGATCTGAAGAGATGTCAAGGCAACCGCCCCTAATTACCACACGTTGCTAGACTAGTGGTAACAATTAAACCTCCTCCAAAAACAGGAAGAAAAAAGCTTGTGGTTTCAGTTTAATTCAAAAGACATTTGTCCATTTTTATTATGTATTCTGCATATCTTTATTTTGTAAAAGTGTATTTGATCACTTGCTCCACCCAGATTGTGATAATCATTGGGGTGTATATAACTCTACAGGGCTTACAAATCCAATGTCCATCACTTCTGTCTTACCACCCTGAGCCTTGGAGTTTTGACCTCTAAGATGGGGCTAATCCCATTTTTACTGGATTGTCGTAAGGAATAAGTGAAATAAAATATGTAAAATACTGCATATAGTGCCTACTCTACAGGAACACCGATAAGCAGTTGCTGTTAATCGCTTACTTTCCAAAACTAGTTCACACAATCACCTTAAAGATTTCATTTTGAAAGAACGTCAAGTTATAACCAGTTATGCACCCCCTTATCCTTATGCTGTTTTATCAACCTCCTTGAAAAAGATACAGTACATCAATCCTCTTGGAAAGATAGGAAACAAATATTTATCAGATTCTGAATTTTGCTTTATGGCGATTAGGTGTGATTCTGGGACCAACACCATCAGCAGCCCTTGGAAGGTTGTTAAAAATGCAGAACCTCAAGCTCATCCCAGAACTCTCCATCAGAATCTACATTTTAAGAAGATCCCCGCGTGATTCCCATGAACTTCAAAATTTGAGAGGTATTGCTGTTTTTTTACCTACCAGTGGATGGAAAATTATAGTCAGAACTTGAAACCAGGGTGGTGCAATATGGTGCTATATAAAAAAGTCAGAGCATCCTTGTTCTTGCCGAATGGAAAATTTATCTGTTTTCAGCTGGAACCAAAATCTAGAAATTATATTTCTCATCAGAAAGAGCAAATAAAATACATAGCCTTTATTTCAGTGCCTGCAACGGGTACAGAATGCTGATCTACAGAGCAAAGAGCATTAAAGTTAGGAGGGAAATGGTTCAGAGTGAACTTAGGCACTTTTCCCTGGATGTTAAGTAATTAGTGACTGATGTTTATGATTTTTCTTTGGAAGTATCATTGATAAAGTCTCCAGTTAGAAAGAGCTCTGAATTCTTTTAAATGTCCCTGTATTTTGCCTTTCTTCTGCAACATGTGAGGGTTTCATTTGCTTCATATCTTTTCCTGCACTTGATACTGTCAGTAGTTTTAAAGCTTCTCTTAGGTATATGGTGCCATCTCACTGTGGTTTAAATTCACTTTTCTCTAATGAATAGCTATCTTGAGCATCTTTTCATGTGCTTACTTGCTATCTAAGTCTGGTGAAGTGTCTCTTCAAATTTTTTTTATATTGGGTTGTTTGTTTCTTGTTATTGAGGAGTGAAAGTTCTTAGTCTGACATGTCTTTTGCAAATATTTTCTGTGGCTGTGGCTTATCTTTCCATTTTCTTGCAAGCATCTTGCAAAGAGTAGAGATTTTTTAGTTTTGATAAAGTTCAGTGCACCAATTTTTTCTTTCATGGCTTGTGATTTGATTTTTCGCCCTAAGTAATCTTGGCCTAAACTAAAATCACAGAAAGATTTTCTAGAAAAAATGAAAGTTCCTATGGCCAGGTTTCACACCTGACCCTGATCAACTTGCCCACTATACACACATGTGGGCAGTATGTTATTACCGACTCTACAGAAAGAGCTCTGCCCAGTGCTCTGGGCTGTGCGGCTGCAGGAGAGCAGAGGCTGGAGTGGCAGCAGCACCCAGCACAGACTGAGATGGCTGAGGGGGTGGAGAGGCCCAGAGGCAGAGACAGGCTTGCTGCGTGCAGACCTGCTCTGAGGTGGATGGGATTCTAGCGCTTGACCTGCCCCTGTGGGAATAAAGTTGGGTATAGACCCTTTCACCCCAAGAACATTCCATTGTCACTTTTCAACCTCACCAAATCAAGACTGAACCTGCCTGGGGCTGAAACCCACTGGCAAGACAGATTTTTTTTCTATGTCTACTTCTAGAAGGGCATTGTCTTATATGGTAGCCACTAGTCAAAGTGTAGCTACTTAAATTTAAATTACTTAAAATCTAATTAAATAAAATTTAAAATTCAGTTCCTTAGTCACATTAGCCACATTTCAAGTGCTCACTAGCCACATGTGGTTACTGACTACTGCACTGGATAGTATAGAGTAATCAAACACCTCCATCATTGTAGAGGGTTCCATGGGAAAATTTTACAGCAGCAGTTTAATAGATTTAGGTTTTACATTTAGGTCTGTGGTCCATTTTAATCCAGCAGCCTCACTCCTGGGTATTTCGACAGAAATGAAAACATATGTCCACAGAAATGCCTCAAAGCTAAGGTTTATAGCAGCTGTATTCTTAATTACCAAAACCTGGAAACAACCCAAATGTCCATCAACTGTGAATGGATAAACAAACTGTGGTACAGCCTTATAACAAGTTAGTACTCAGCAATAAAAAGGGATAAATGGATAAAATGGAACATTATGGCTGAATCTCAAAAGCATTATGATTATTGTAAGTGATAAAAGCCAATACAGGCGGAGCCAAGATGGCAGCATGAGTAGAGCGGCAGAAATCTCCTCGCAAAACCATATATAATTTTGAAAATTCAACAAATACAACTATCCCTAAAAGAGAGACCAAAAGATACAGGACAACAGCCAGGCTACATCTACACCTGTGAGAACCAAGTGCCTCGTGAACGGGCCTCCCCCCCATTTCCCCTCTGATGCCGCTCCGCCATAGTGGAGTAGCAGCCTGAGGCAGCAGGGCAGAGCTTCTTTCACAGCAGCTGGGCAAGAAGTAGAAACCCCGTCTGTG